GAAAAGACCAAGAGTCCAACCCCAGAGAGAGGGATGGGTGAAAGGCTGAAACACCGAGACTACAACCGTTGCCTCTACGCACAGCTGCAGAACGTGGAGACAGAGCTGGAACTGCTGGGGGCTCACCGATTCCAGAAGCCGCAAAGTTACTCTCAGGCTGTACGCCAGGTTCAGCACATGAAGAACTTCCTGGAAAGCCAGCTGTACCCTGCAGCATCCATCAGCGAGAGGTAAGATAGTGGGCTCAAGGAATGCTAGCTGCAAGCCACACCTGTAGCTTCCAGACAAAATGAAGAGCTTCTCATCTTCTGCCCCAGATTTCAGAAGAATATCAGAAGGGTGCTTCTGAATCAAACTAGTGGTCCATCTAGTTCACTCTCATTTCACACAGTGGCCAACTGCAAAGGGCACTGAATGCTCTTCAGCTGTGGCCTCCTAGCACTGGTATCCAGAGGTTTGATGCCTCTGAATACAGAGGTCCCCATTAGTCACCGCGGCTAGTAGCCACTAAATCACTCTTATCCCCCGTTTAAAAGTCATCCATGCACATGATGGCACATTGGAACCTTTACCTTTTTTAACAGACACACACAAGGAATTATTCTCCCCTTGACCTGAAACCCCCCCCCTACTATTATCAGTATGCAAAAGGCTTCAGAAGTTTCTGTACTAGGTAGGATTGCCAATTCTGGGTTGGGAAGTACCTGGAGATTTTGGGGATGGAGCAGTGGAGGGTGGCAACAGATACCTTCTGGAGAGCAGTTGTAGTTCCAGGAGATCTTCAGGCCCCACCTGGAGGCTGGCAACCCTAGGAAGAGGCCACTATTAGGTCTGCATTTGATAATTCAGTACACATTGTTCTGGTCTCTTACACGTGTTTTACAAGGCAACTTCCCAACTTCCTTGGCTCACTAGGGGCTCTCCTACTCCCAGCCTTCCAGGAGAGGGTAAGAAGGAGGCAGCACCCAAAGGTCTGCCTTGGTGGTGCGTGTTCATTGGCTGGTTCCTGGTTGCTGCCACGAGCGGCGTGTCTGGATTCTTCACAATGCTTTACGGGCTCCATTATGGCAAGGAGAACTCCATCAAGTGGCTCATCTCCATGGCCATCTCCTTCTTTGAAAGCCTTTTCATCACACAACCACTGAAGGTAAACTCCCATCTCTCATGGTCATGGGTATTAGTTAGGTAGGACTTAGCTGCAAAAGCTTTAGTTCATTTCTTAAGACATAGTGACACTGTTGGATTGTCCATGTCTGAACACAACAGGGCAGTCTAAGCTGGGGGTTATCATTATTTCATAAATATGGAGTTGTATTCAGCTGCCTTTTTTGCTGTGTCTTGCCCAGTTCCCCTCCTCATGCCTTGTGGCCTTTGTCTGTGCAAAAAGGCCTAGCCTTTTTGGGTGGACAAAGGAGACCCCTCTACCTATTTTAACTAGCATAAAAGATAGTTGGACCCAAACAATTTTTTTCTTCCTTTGAAGAAGAGGCTTTAATGTATGTTGTCAGTCTTTGATGGGCTTCCCCCTCCCCTTTCAATTTGTTTGCTTGGCTGAGATCAAAAAGACTGACATTTGCATTTAATTTAAACAGGCCCTGACCTATAGGATATATCTATATCATAAACTAGTTTCAAATGTATTTGATTTTGACAAATTCCACTAATTAAATTATGACCTGGATGGCACAGGCTAGCCCAATCTTGCAAGATCTCAGAAGCTTAGCAAGGTCAGTTAGGGTTGCCAAGTGGAATCTCCTTACCGGCGGGGGAGTGTCGCTGGGCTCCGGGAGCTCTCTACTACGCGGCGTTGATCACGTTGGGGGCATGGCCCCGATCGTCGGAGGGAAAACCATAGAGTTCCCCCCGGGGCCCAATTACACAGCGGCGTAAATCGGGCCTCCAAAGCGGGGGTTTACCCGCCACCCGCCCCTACTTGGCAGCCCTAAGGTCAGTTCTGGTTAGTACTTGGATGGGAGACCACCAAGGAAGTCCAGGGTTGCTTATGCAGGGGCAGGCAATGGCAAATCACTTCTGTTTGTCTCTTGCCTTGAAAACACTAGGGGGTCACTATAAGTCAGCTGTGACTTGATAGCTAAAGTAAATAAATTCTTGGCATTGTGGTTACGGTTAGGGTATCATGACCCATACTACAGACTTCTCAACACCTTCATAAGAATACAACATCTGGAGTTCTTTGGGGTTGGGTTGAGGAACCAGGACAATTACATCAAGTTCAAAACAGTTTTTGAGATTTTAGCACTGTGCCAAGACAATAAAATAGTTGCCTGATGTTTGAGTTGTTCATGGACCTTGTCTTCATTTAGAAAGCAAAACAGAAAGCACTATTGTCTTTTCTGTCAGTGTAAACAGGGCAGCGAGATGTCAGCAGCCATTTTAGAACAAGTCTTATCAGTACAAATATGTCTCTCGATTTGCATCCAATGTTTTCCAGGTTTTAGGATTTGCTGCTTTCTTTGCTCTGGTTCTGAAAAAGGTGGAGCAGGAAGATGAGGAGAACACAGCCATTGAGGGACCACTGTCTGCCCCAGGTAGCCATTCAGCATCGATGGCCCTTGATGGGCGGGTCTCCCTTTCTCTGCTTTTGAAAAATAACACCCATTAAACAGAGAGATGTATTTATTTAATCTGAGGTTAGCTGGACCAGCAGCAGCTTGATTTGAGGAAGAGCAGTACAGAGGTCAGTGTTATGTTTTCTGAGGAACCTGACGCAGGACCAGAAGTTGTGTGGCCTACTTTTTAGGACTCTGCTTGTAAAAGGACCAGAAGTTGTGTGGCCTACTTTTTGTACATCTGTCCATAAACAAATATTTCACAGACACCAGACGTCTCCAGTGTTCTCTCTCTTTCATGCAAAAGAAACTACAAGCCCTGTAGGGCTGACCTCTAGACTCTCACCACCCCGGGAAAGAGCATAACATCCTCCAACTCTCTCCTGGAGTTTGTGTGCCAGACAGGTCCATTAGCGCTCTGGAACCTCCATTCTTCCCTTGTGAAATGGCCTTTCACCACAGGAGTTGTGTCAACAAAATTAGCCCTTGGCCAAGCCGAACTGGATGCCTGCCAAATGTATTTGTAATCTTGTTGAAGTGGAAGTTTGCCAGCCAGCTCTTCACTCCTCTGAGCCTTCATCCCCTTGTGCTAACGTCTATTTTTATCTCCCCTTTACGCCAAGCGTTTTCTCTCCTCCTGCCTCTTTCAACACCATGATGAGTCTTGAATCATTTATGTCCCTTGATCTCTGTAGCCTTTTCTATGTCTCAACTATTATTTGGGTTTTGCCTATCGTTCTTGGAGCTGGGTAAGTGGCTATTTTGCATGGCTGGATGGTCTCTTTGAGGGGGGCTGATGTTTTGTGTGCTGATTTTAAAAAGATGTAAATTCCAGCTTCCTTCTTCAGGAAGGACTCATGGCAGGTTTCTTGCAAATTTTAGAGATCGTTAACACAGTGATAGCAGATAAATATTTTAGCATCGAATTCTAAAGCCCTTTTAAATTTCCCTAGCTTAAAATACATTTGGCAACAAGCTTTATTGAAATCAGCCTTGAGGTTATGGGGGAAGGGGGAAGGAATAGGCCTTGTACTTCAAACTGATGGGCCAGGCCCAAGGCAGCCAGAATGACCCTGGATAGCCTGATCTCATCAGATCTCAGAAGCTATGCAGAGTTGGGCTTGGTCAGTACTTGGATGGGAGTCCAAGGTTGCTATGCAGAGGCAGGCAATGGCAAACCACCTCTGCTCATCTCTTGCCTTGAAAACCGTGGTCCCGGGGTGATCATGACCCTGTTGCAACTTGATGGCACGTTCTTCTTCAGGCCAAGCATCATTTTCTCTGGACCTGGTACAAATATGCCATGTGCCTGCACCCATTTCACCCATCTCATTCGTCAAGGGAGTTTTAATTTTTTTTTAATTCTAAAATAAAAACAACAACCCCATGTCATATTGATAGACTTGTAGCCCCTGTTGTAGGGATGCCAGCTTCCAGGTGGGACCTGGGGATCCCCCAGAATTACAGCTTATTTCCAAACTACAAAGATCAGTTACCCTGGAGAAAATGGATGCTTTGAAGTATGGACTCTATGGCATTGTACCCCACTGAGGCCCCTGTCCTCCCCAGGCTCCACCCCCAAATCTTCAGGAGTTTCCCAACCTGGATCTGGCAACCTTACCCTGTTGGGGGTCTCCTGATACCTTCTGGATTATGGCCTGGGACCCATATATCTCAAGGTCTATATGAGCCCTTATTCCAGTTTAGGTTCTCTCAACATGCCCCGTTAACCAAATTTCAGGATAAGCTGCATAAGCTAGAATTTGGGGGCAGGAGTCCCAACCTTGTTGACCCTGCTGGCACTTCTGGAATGTTCAGAGTGGATAGTGGGCACCACCCCAAAATGGTTGCTATGCAGGTTGGAACACAAAAAGTTGAGAAGTTCCAAGCCAACCACAGGAGGGAAGTTCCTTCCTCCTATAATCTTTCTGAAAGGCTACTCCCTGAAGGCACAAACCTTTCTGGGTTCTTCTGAAGAGCTTCCTGGTTCAAGGCAGTGAAGGAAGCCAGGATTGGCCCTTTACTTTGGGGAAGGAGGAAGTGGTTACGAGGGGTCACATTGGTGGGTGCCAGTGAGTCCTTTGGCATCATGATGTGGATTGGCATCAGCATCATGACTCTGTAGGGTTGGACAATACAAGGGACATCTAAATTGGGGGAAAAGGCTTAAATTATATTTTTTATGATTTTGTCTTCATAGACATGTAGATATAAAGCTTTCATAGTTATATTCTGTGTCCTTTCTATGAGAGTAATGTTAAAGTATTATTTTTATTAAATGGATACTCTTAAACTGATGTATGTTAGGGCCTCATCATGTCATTGTACAAGCTTGCTGTTGACTATACTCTCTGTGCTTCTGCATTCTCTCTCTCCCTCTCTCTGATTATACCCTGGTGAGGTCCTTTCCTTCCCCTAACTCCATCCTTCCCTGGCTCCACCTCTAAATCTCCAGGAATTTCCCAACCCAGAGTTGGCAAGCCCAGTCTGAGAACTCCAGGCCCCACCTGGAGGTTGCCAACCCTAATACCAGCCCATTAAAAGACTACCTTTTCCTGTTCTTGCCTGCAGGTGACTCAAACCCTCTCTTTGGAACCCGCAGAGACAGCGGAAGCAACATCTACCAGCCGCCCCCTGCTACCGATGTTGAGAAAATGAAGAGCAACCACATGAAGGAGCAGAAAGCATTTGCCCTGATTCGAGAAATATTGGGTATTTTTGTACATGTATTCTGAAGATGCTAGGGTGGCGTGGGGGGTAAGTTGGGGAGTTTTGAAACAAGGTGACTGGTGAGCCTGATATAGCCCACCACAAAGCAATGCAGGCTGGGAATAGATTTTGAAAATGTTTAGAACAGAACAAAGAATGAGACTAGGTTTAAACTGTACCACAGAGACATTTTAAGCCTTGTTCTCCCTGAGCTGGTAAACCTGTGCAGTACTGCTGTCAACAGCCAGTGGGAGCTCACATAACTGAGTGTTGCACCATTATTATTATTTTTTTAAGTATTCTGCCATTTTCAAAAAGTCCAGCTCATAGGAAACTGTCATGTTCCATTTTGTCTTTGAAGGCATATACAGCGTCTCCAGGTTGCAGTCTGGCAATTCTGCCTTGTGAACCACAGCCAAATCTTTATCAAGGCAGGAGCACCAGCCGGCTAGGATTTCATGAAATCCGTCTCTCCTCTTGTCTCAAAGCTGTTAGATTCGAGTCCAGGACCACCTTAGGGACCAACAAGAGTTTCAAGGTATCAGCTTTCGAGAGTCAGAGCTTTCTTCAACAGTTGAAGAGGGTCTCTGACGGAGGGAGCTCTGACTCTCGAGAGCTGATACCCCGGAAATCTGGTTCAACTCTAAGGGGCTCCTGGACTTGAATCTGACTGCGTTACTGCAGACCAGCACGGCTACCCACTGAGATTGTCTCGGAGCTGTAACAGGAGCCACACTCTAGCTCAGTGATGGCGAACCTTTTAGAGACCGAGTGCCCAAACTGCGACCCAAAACCCACTTATTTATCGCAAAGTGCCAACACGGCAATTTAACCTGAATACTGAGGTTTTACTGTAGAAAAAACAACTCATACATTAACTTAAGATGATCCAAACAAAGTAAGGAAAGCAATCCCAAATGCTTTCATTTACTTAAAATTGTTTGGCAGAGAATTCAACACTTTAATGATGGTCTGGGCCTGGCTGGGGTGATGGCACGCGTGCCCACAGAGAGGGCTCTGAGTGCCACATCTGGCACCCGTGCCATAGGTTCGCCACCACTGCTCTAGCTTCTTACAGATCCGTGTGAACTGGTGTAAGAGAGGGTCTGGGGCCAAGGGATCATCTTATTCGGGCAATATGATCCAGCATTCCAGTTGGTACCCGTGATGTAGTAGAAAATAGCAAGAGTACAGGAGCACCTTGAAGACTAACAAAAGCTCACGAAAGCTCATACCCTGCCACATAGTTTGTTAGTCTTTAAGGTGCTAATGGACTCTTGCTCTAGATTTCGAGAATGAGACTAGGTTTAAATTGTACTGTAGGTTTAAACCGTACTGTAGACATTTTAAGCCTTGTTCTCCCTGAGATGGTAAACCTGTGCAATACTGCTGTCAACAGCAAGTGGAAGCTCACGTAACCAAAGAAGTGAGCTGTGACTCACGAATGCCCATACCCTGCCACATATTTTGTTAGTCTTTAAGGTGCTACTGCTCTTTTCTGCTGCTAGAGACAGACTAGCATGGCTACCCATCTTGATCTATCCCCATAAGGCAGGCAAGCATCTGTTTTGAAACTGCTCTTTCCCCCCCATTTTCCAGCCTATTTGGGTTTCTTGTGGATGTTGTTGTTGGTTGCCTACGGCCAGCGTGATCCTAACTCCTATTACCTGAACAAGCATATCGAGAGTAGCTTCACTGATGGATTCCAAGATATCTTCAGCTATCAGGAGTTCTTCAAGTGGGCCAGGACAACTTTAGTCAGCAATTTATATGGCCCGTATCAAGGTACAAAACCTTCTGCAAGAATCAAATTGACTTTGAAAGCATCGCAAAGGGTTTCGTAGAATGTGCATTTTCTGACTCTTCTTTTCCCACCTTCTAAAATCCCCACCAGGCTTCATCACAGATGGCAACTCCAAGCTGGTGGGCAGTGCCCGGATTCGTCAAGTGAGAGTAAAGGGCAACACCTGCCCCATAGATCCTCAGCTCCAGCAGACAGTTCGAGAATGCCATGCCTCTTATTCTTTCGACGCAGAAGACACGTCAGACTATGGGGAACGCTGGAATGTCTCTTCTGCAGCTAATTCTTCAGAGCTGAATTCTGCATGGCAATATCAGAGCCAAACCAAACTGAGAGGGCACCCCATCTGGGGCAAAATGGCAGTCTACAGAGGTGGAGGATATGTGGTTCACCTGGGGACAGAGTCCCATAACGCTTCCAGGTGCCCCGTCTGTGATGCTTTTACAGCTGTTTTCTGTGATGATAATCACATTTTCATTGCTATGGGGCTTTTGGGGTATTGGAAGTGCTTCACATGCATTATAATATACATAACAGTCCTGGCAAGCTTTGGAGACACATGAAACAGCCAGCTTGCAAGTATTGATCGGACACTGCCTAGGAATCCCATGGGCACCTCCTGGAGTTCTGTTGTGGAACCAAAATGCAATATGAATGCAATGGTGGGAAAACCCATGAGGGACAAACGGCGACACCCAAACCCATCTGAGAAGCAACTGGGCTCCCTTTCCCAATCAGCTGAGGGAGGAGGAGAAATCATAGGATGTAGGCAAGCTTGGGTGTGCGATATCTATATTTTGTAGCTTCCTAGCATTTTAATGGAGGCAAGGTGGCACGGTACAGCCCAATCTTGTCAGATTTCAGAAACTAAGCAGGGTCAGCCCTGGTTAGCACTTGGATGGGAGTCCACCAAGGAAGACTGCAGAGGAAGGCAATGGCAAAACCACCTCTGCTTCTCACTTGCCTTGAAAGCCTCTTCCTTGGGTTGCCATCAGTCAACTGTGACTTGATAGCACTTTTTACACACACACACCATTTTTAACACCACAGTGTTTTGTATAGCTGAAGGCTCTCTCATTTGTCATGTTCTTCGGCAGAATTCTCCAGTATCTCTTCGACAACATCTGGCTGGACACCTTTACAAGGGCCGTGTTTGTCGAGTTCACCGTCTACAACGCCAACGTGAACCTGTTCTGCATCGTAAGCCTCATGTTTGAAACCAATGCATTAGGTGAGTGCTCTGATATTACAGACATTAAAGGCCAAACTAAACAACATGATTTAAAAAGAGGACTGCTTTTCCCGTAGCCAAATGGCAGCTGCAGGGAATGTTTTTCTCCCAGTGCTGCCAGGCCTGGCTCAGAGTGGGACCATGGCCCTGGGGGAGGACGAGCCTCTGCTTCTTTTAAAGTGCAAGACCCACATAGCCTTGCTTTGAATGCAGGGTGTACCAGGTTAGCATGCAGAGCAGAATGCTAAACGTGCTTTGATTCCACAGGGGCCTTCTTCACACGTGCTGAGCTGCAGAGTATCCGGCTTTATCCATACACGGATGGCCTGCATATCTTTGTGGTAGCAGCAGAAGTGATTTATTTCCTCTTTGTCATCTACTACATGGTGGAACAGGTAGGACCCTGCAGGAAGTTTCCCCTTCATAAGAACATAAGAGAAGCCAATGTTGGATCAGGCCAATGGCCCATCCAGTCCAACACTCTGTCACACAGTGGCCAAAAATACCAGGTGCGATCAAGAGGTCCAGCAGTGGGGCCAGGACACTAGGAGCCCTCCCACTGTTGCCCCCCCAAGCACCAAGAATACAGTGCATCACTTGCCATCACTTCATCACGCTTAAAGCCCAACTCTTGTGAATCCTATGGACACATAAGTCTACCTTATACTGAATAAGAGCATTGGTCCATCAAGGTCTGTATTGTTTACTCAGATCAGCAGTGGCTGTCCAGGGTCTCCGGCACAAGTTTTTCCCATCACCTACTACCTGGTTTTTTACCTGGAGATGTCAGGGATTGAATCTGTAGACTTCTGCATGCCAAGCAGATGCTCTACCACTGAGCCACAGATTCTGTGCTACTTGCCAAGATTCCAGAAGGGAGCGTATTGGTCATTGCTGCTGCTGTAATGTGTTCATCTATATTTACATACTCTGCCTTTCAGCCAAAGCGCTTGAGAAAATCTACAATACAAAGCAGTAGCTAAGCGGCACCATACACAAGGGGGGGGGGAGAATGGTGTGAGAAGCAGCAAATAAACAAATCTTAGCTAGAAGCTCTTTTGTACTGTTATCTGGTGAAGTTATATAATGGGACTGCAGTGATCGTTTTGGGGAGGGGGGAGGCCAAATGGCTGGAGGTCCCAGCAGAGCAAATGCAGAGGCCCTTGCTGGAAGCCCTTTGGAAGATTTGGCTTGGGAAGAGCCTGGTGACCTCCTACGTGATGGAGACTGAAATGCCAGGAATGCATTGCCCCCCCCAACCAGTAGGAGGAAATGCCAGGCTTACACAGAAAAGGAGGAATACAGCCTATCTGGCAAAAGTAGCTAACAAAGGCATGAGAATCATCACTTTGCATCAAGCAACACGTTAAGTTTTACCAAACTGATTTCTATGGGGCAATTCACGTCTCGTGGCCACCAGATGCGTTTCTAGTGGATGTGTATTAGGCAGGGGTCGTTTCGTAGAAAAAGAGCTAGGGGAACTCATTAGCATAACTCATTAGCATATGCCACACACCCTGACATCATAAGGCCCGGCGGTGGACCTGCAAGGCCGGTGGGAGTGCGAGGAAGCCCCGCCAAGGCCCTCCCTGGCCCCAGGCAGGCAGGGGTGGGGAGAGGCGGGGATGAAGCAACTTACCCTCCCTCTTCTCCTGCCTCCTCCTAGTTGAATGAGTGCCAGAAGCGGGGCCGCCGGAAGCAGGGGGCGGGGCTTCGTCGTGTGCCCCCCCACCTCAGCCGGGGGAACTGCGATCCCCCCCGAAATGACCTCTGGTATTAGGAGTCCTCTGCTGGGAACTCAATTTCCAGATGTGCCCAAGCCTGATTTGATGCATACTGATGGGGCTACACACATGTTTCCCCAGTGGCCTGAATCAGGGGTGAACTGGAATGATAAACTGGCCCAGGAGCAAGCCAGACTGAGTAGCCCCCGTGGCACTACAGGCCTGTCAAGGCTTGCTCTAGCCCTGCTTGCATGTGCGGAGAAGACTCCTCAGAAGGGGAGTTTTCCATGGTTTCCGCTGTGTCCAAGGTTGTGTACACTGCAGGACCTCCTGGGGAAGGCTTCATGCTGCTTCTTCAGCAGCAGGCTCCTGTTCAACATCACTTAGATCCAGCAGACTAGGACACCCCTGAATGGACCGGTCCACCTCCTGCATCTCCAGAGTCTCCCTGAGGATCCCAGGAACGGAGAAGACAGAGGGTCAGAGTCAAAGCCTGAACAAGCAGAAGACGAGTGCCTATTTGGCAGCTTAAGGTCTCCCACGCTGTAGCCTTTGCAGGATCACAGACCTAGCTAGGGCTGCCAACTCCATGCTGGGGAATTCCCAGAGACCTGGGGGTTCATAATCCTAGACCTAGCCCTGCCTACAGAGAAGGATGGGACTCTCCGTTCCCTAAATAATTCTCCTGTTGAGTCCCAACCTTTGCTGGTTCACCATCTCCTTTTTGCCAGCTTCCGCTTTAGCCTAGACAGCCGCTGATTGCTAAGCTCCAGCTTTCCAGAACCTGCCTGCCTCTCCCTTGCGGAGATCTCTAGTCTCCCGCTTCAACTGACCCTTGCATCCTGCACTGCTCATTTCTTGCCTAACTGCTTGCCTGTCATCCTTGAAACTTTCTGCCACCTTGCCAAAATATGGTATAGCCAGAGCCATGGGGCCATTTGGCTCAGATCTAGCCAGTGGGCTGTACCCATTGGCTGCTGTGCTAGAGGAGGAGGCGGCAGACAGAGTGTTGGCACCCATTATTGGTGCCTAGGGTTGCCAGCTCTGGGTGGAGAAATACCTGGTGATTTGGAGGTAGAGCCTGAGGAGGGCGGGGTTTGGGGAGGGGAGGGACTTGAGCATGGTACAATGCCACAGCGTCCACCCTCCAAAGCAGCCATTTTCTCCAGGAGAACTCATCTCTGTTGCCTGGGGATCGGTTGCAGGGGTCATTTCCTGCGGGAGCGCACAGGAGCGGAGCACCGGCAGTAAAGAGCCCAGGGGGCGGGCACATGCAACAAGCCCCACCCTCTGCTCCCAGCAGCCCTCAGTCAGAGCAGGAAGCAGCCAGGTAAGTTGCAGAGCCGCCCCCCAGTCCAAAACAGTCCAGTGGCACCTTTAAGACTAAGTTTTATTCAGGTACAAGCTCTCCTTCCTCTGTGAGGACAGATCTGCATGTCCCCCCTCCCCAATAGCTAGCAATCCGAAACAGTCCAGTGGAGCCTGAGCAGTGGGTGTTGCCTTCTGACACATTTCCAGTGATGTCAGGGGTGTGTGGCATATGCAAATGAGTTATGCTAATGAGCTCCTGCACCTCTTTTTCTACGAAATGACCCCTGATCAGTTGTATTAGCAGGAGATTTCCAGGCCCCACCTGGAGGCTGGCAACCCTATGAGTGGTGGTGCTGGCTATATCTGAGCCAAATGATCCTTGCAGTGCTGGCAGAGCAGCTGGGGCTTGGCTCAGTTTACTCCTGGCTGTCAGCAGCCCTCCAGTGCACTGGCCCACTGGGAACTTTCCCTAGACAAACAGCAGCTCCTCGGGACCGGGACCGTGTTGGATCAGGCAAATGACATGGAGAGGAAGGCTGAAGTTCTTTCTCTCTGCATTCTACAGTGCCAATCTCAGTTGGGCCTCTGTTTGCCTGGGAACTGAGGTCCTGGAGCACAACTGATAGAAACACATCTTGTGCCCACATGAACTTTATAACATGTGAATTGACCCCAAATTTAGCTTCTTCCAACTCTTGGAGCTACGGTAGCTCAAGTGGTTAAGACGCTGAACTGCAGGCTGTGGAAGGTCAGTAGTTCAGCAGTTCGAGACCCGGGTGCCGCATGATCGAGTGAGCTCCCATCTCTAGTTCCAGCTCCTGCCAACCTAGCAGATCGAAAGCAAGAAATTGCAAGTAGATAAATAGCTACCACTTCGGTGGGAAGGTAACAGCGTTCCGTGCCCCTTGGTGTTTAGTCATGCCGGCCACATGACCACGGAAACGTCTTCAGACAGCGCTGGGTCTTCGGCGTGGAAACGGAGACGAGCACCGCAACCCTAGAGTCAGATTTGACTGGCTTGCGAGCAAGGGAACCTTTACTTTAACTCTTGGTACTAAATTAGAAAGGCTCCTCGAACAAGAAGCGTAAGCTTTTGGGATAAAGTGATTCTCTGGATTCCAAAAAGCAATTCTCTGTATAACAACAAATAACCATTTTCTCTAAGAGGGAGGCCCAGACAGCACCTTGAAAGGTCATAGGCTATATTACCTTAATTTTTTGCACAAAAAATTGAGATGGCTCAGGCAGGTAAACTAAACCAACCAAGCAAGAGCCAATACCTCCAAAGAAAGTTTAGAAAACTAGTAAGGGGGCAAAAGAGAAAAACATCAGTAATTATATAGACAAAAGTACATGTGTTTATTTCAAAAACAGTTAAAAACCTTGTAGGGGCCCAAGTAAAGCCTCATAATGGAATCAAAGTGACAAATGCACAAAAGGAACCATATATGTATGACCTGTAACAGTCATATTGATGTTACATTGGCCCTGATAAGGGTGATTGTACTTGTAGTCTTAGGACGTAAACTGGAAAGTTACATACTGGCAAAATTACTTTCTCCAATATATGTAACTAACACTGACATAAGGCCAGATACATTTGTGGCCTCACATGTCTTTTTGTGTCATTCAATTCCAGATTGAAACATTTCTGTTTTGATCCTATATCAATTGTTTACTGCCTTACAAGTGTAACGGGGGCTTTGTTGTATGTTGTATTTTGTACGGTTTGACCTCTGATGCAGGCTCTTTTGGGCCGAAACACATCAGGTCATATATGGTTCCTTTTGTGCATTTGCCACTTTGATTACATCATGAGGCTTTACTAGTTTTTAACTGTTTTTGAAATAAACACATATACTTTTGTCTATAATTATTAATATTGTTAACTTTTGGGCCCTTACTAGTTTTCTAAACTTCTTTTGGAGGTTCAGGCAGATAAAGCCATCAATAGCTTGGTGGAAAGTGCCACCCAGTCACAGCTGACATGGCGGTTTCATGGGGTTTTCAAGGCAAGAGACACTTCAGAGGTGGTTGGCCACTGCCTGCCTCGGTGTCATGACCCTGGTATTCCTTGGAGGTCTCCCATCCAAATACTAGCCAGGGCTGACCCTGCTTAGCTTCCGAGATCTGATCAGATTTGCCTAGCCTGGAGTTCTTATGTTCTTACAATATACTATTGAGTTTGTGCTGATCAGCCGAAAACATCCTGTTGACTGTTTCGCCTGCCTCTCTCATTCACACAGAAAAAGGTTCAAGAAAAGACCATTCTGGCAGTTGCTCCTTGACTTCTGAGAAACATTGGCTGCGGTCACACGGGCAGGAAAATGCGGGGGGGGGGAAGCGTGGTTGTTTGCCCCGGGGCAAAATAATGCGCGGTTGCGCAAGCAGACATCCCGCGGAGGTCCCGTGGAGGTCCCGTGGTAGGGGGGAGGTGCCGATCACACCACAATCCTGCAGCGCGGCAAAGAAGCGGCGCGCCACAGCAAACAGGTGGGTTTTTTTTCTGTACACTGACGTGTGCGCATGCCCCGTTGGGTGCTTGTGCACATCCCGAGGACACTTGGGGAAAAAAACCTTTTTGCGAGGGGACATGGGCAGGTGCCGGATGCCATGAGTTTCCACCGGAAACGTGATCACGCGCCCGCCCTTGCCCTGCGGTTTCTGGAAACTAGTACCTCTGAGGTACTAGTTTTTTACCGTGCATCTTTGGAGTGAAGCCTCGGGTGAGCCATGGGAGCTCTACACTTCCCAGATGTGGCGGTGAGATCGCAGCCGGAAAATCTTCCTATCTTCCGTCTCTCTAGCGTGCCATGTGACCGCAGCCATTTATAAGTTTATTTAAAAGAGTTCTGCTCCACCTCTCAGCTGTAGGTTTCTGAAGTAGCCTCCAAAAATAAAACCCTCATAAAACCACAGTTCGATAAATAATTCACAAAACAATAAAAACATTAGCCCCCAGAAAAAGCAAGCCAGTGTAACAGCATAAAAATCAATATACCAGCATGGAGGCTGGCTGTCCATGGCCAGACATACCTATAGCAAATTCTGAACTTCAGGCCTCCCCCCCAAACTACTGCACAAGCCATTTTATCTGGGCTGAATCCTGATTCCCAAAATGAAACTTAAGGGAACGGAACGAGTATATAGCACTTCTACTCAGATATTAACTGACTATATTCATGTTAAATTGCTACCCACACTGAGATCTAGGAGTGGAATGGGCTAGAAAAGTAAATCAATCATTCCTTGTCCTACATCTCTTCTGTTGCCTTTAATAACAACATTTGGCATTCATTAATCTCCTAAATACTCAAAGCATTTCATAATTCTTAGTAAGCCGTACAGCAACAGTTAAAAACAGGCTAGTAATAGACTCTCAGTGTTCCAAACAGGGGTCAGAGCTGAGCATTTTTCCTTTATGACACATTTATATACCTGCTGTCAAAACATTCAAAGCTCTTTTTGATTTAAAACATGAAGGCAAATCAATAAACAGCTGAAATTGCCACAGGTCAGAGTGGTCTCTTTAGGAGCTGACAGCACGAACTCCTTGGTGTGGTCTGCTTCTCTTATTTATTTATGTTAGGCTGTGGTCACACGGCAAGTGTACCGCGATTTGTTCCCGCTGTAGATTTGATCGGGGATGTTTTAAAGCGGATTCAGATGATCACACATCCCTTACCCAACCGCTTGCATTGTGCGACGACAATGCTCCAGGCACCGTCCAGACAGCCATGCTGCCCAAGTGGTGGCGCGACACAATTAAAATTTTTAAAATTAAAAATGGTGAAAGCCAGAAGAAGAAAAAACTACCAGAAGAAGGAAATTCAGACGACCTAATTGCAATAATTTCGAGAGATGACTGTCCAAATTGGCAAAATCGCAGATACCCGGAAAGTACTTGATTTCCCAGGTGTCAGAAAACTCACCAGGGAACCGGGAGGATCGCGCGAGTGAGCCCACTTCGGTACGGGAGACAGATGTGGGCGTCTGATCATCAATTTTAAATGCTAGAGGGAACAGCGATGAAACCCGATCAAAATGACCATGTGACCACTTCATTTATACCCCCCCTTCCTTCCCCAAAGAGACCAAAAGTGGCTGACATCATTCTCCTCTCCTCCATGTTAATGAGTACCTGCTACAAAAGAGCCCTGCACGGTATGTTAAGCTGCGAGTGTGCGATGATAGGCCCAAGGTCACCCAGCAAGCATCCATGGCAGAGTGGGAATTTGACTCTGGGTCTCCCAGACCCTGGCCTGACACTCTAACTGCTAGTCTACACTGGCTCACTTGTGATCAGTAGCCAATCAGAGAAGTCATAACTAAGCTGAGGACTGAACTTGGGTCACTGCCTTCCAGCTCATTGCTTATTTATTAGACTCAGCTGAGTTGCAAGGGAGCTATGATAGGATTCCTGAAGAAGAACAAAAATGCCCCTGCTGTCCGGATCAAGTAGGCTCCCTAGCTCATATTGCTTTAGTATGTCCCCAAAACAGTACTGCACAAAATAAATATATTACTCCTTGGATAAAACAGCTAACAACACTTTCTGAGAAGTGGACCCTGTGCTGTCTGCTATGAAGCAGACTGGCGAACTGCATGAGAAATAGGGCAGTTTTTCCTCTTTATAGTGTCAAGAGGGAACTGACTTTCATTCTCACTTTTTTGAGGGGGGTTGTGAGAAACTGTGGAAGAATAGCGAATGGCTCAGAGGTTAAGGTGCTGAGCTGCAGACCAGAAGGTCTGTAGTTTGGCAGTTCGAGATCCTAGTGCCGTGTGGCAGAGTGAGCTCCCGTCTCTGGCCCCAACTCCTGCCAATCTAGGAGTTCGAAAGCAAGAACTTGCAAGTAGATAAATAGGTACCGCATTGGTGGGAAGGTAACAGCGTTCTGTGCGCCTCGGTGTCTAGTTATGTCGGCTACATGATCACGGAAATGTCTTCGGACAGTGTCTTTGGCTTGGAAACAGAGATGAGCACTGCCCCCTAGGGTCGGATTCGACTGGCTTTTGAGCAAGGGAAACCTTTTCATTTACCTTTATTAAATCTAGGGAAAGGAAGGCGTATTCATTTTATTTAGTGCATTTTTTATCCCACCCACCCTCCAAGGAGCTCAGGGTGGTGTGTGCGTGGTTCTTCCTTCTTGCATTTTATCATCACAACAACACTGTGAGGTAGGTCAGGCTAAGACAGATTGAGTGGCCCAGAGTCATCTAGTAAGTTTTATGTCAAAAAGGGCTTTAAACCTGATTCTCTCCTGTCTTAGTCCAGCACACTAACCACCGCACCAGCTCTCTTATGCTCTTAGCACCTATGTTACTACATGGACACATGAGGAATGCATGAACTTGCCTTATACTGAGGTCAGCACATGGGTGCATCGAGGTCAGTCACCACTGTTGTGACAGGTCTTTCACATCACCTAACAGATCCTTTTGACTGTTGATCCCTGGGATTGAACCGGGGACCTTCTGCATGCAAACTAAGTGCTCTGCCACTGAGCCATCGCAGCCAGCTCTCGGTGCATGCACATGGCTCAGAGTGCTATCTGGTGTTTATGGGGTCATTGAAGTCAATGAGCTTAGACGAGTACAATTGTGCTTCAGATGGCACTTTTGTCAAGGAATTTTCCCCATACTGCTTCATCTCCATGCTCAGTTTCTACGTACCAAGCTGTTGTGAAGGGCAGGGGAACCCCCCCCCCCAGCTTGGTGCCCCAAGGTTTGCCCCAGCATCTACCTGAACTATTATCGGATTTTGGGACTACCTCCACATAATCATTGAACAAGATGCAGTGCTCTGATCTTGCTTTGTTCCCCTCTCACTTCTATACTTTGGTGTGCTTGGCACTGAACATGGTGTGTCTGCAGGGAAAGCTCATGCGTGCTCTGAAATGGAACTACTTCCGCAGCAAGTGGAACCTGCTGGAACTGGCCATCATCTCCATCAGCTGGAGTGCTCTGTTGGTGTTTGCACGACGGACCATCCTGGGTTTATGGGACATCAACTACTACCAGGAACATAAGGATGAGTAAGTGGGTGACCTTCCTTGCAGTTTCCAAAACTTGTTTTTGTTTTTTTTTTAAAAAAGGGCATCTTTCATGACAGTTAACATTTGCCTATGTTTCATTTATATAAAAGCAAAAATAAGTAAGCAATGGTTGGGTTTTCCTTCCAAGAGAAGTAATGAACCCGCTGTTGTCTTCTGGGAGAAATGCTGACGGACTGGTGGTTGCCCATCCTCTCAGGTTTGCGAGTTTCAATCAGACGGCGACCATTGATGCCATTCTGGGCTACCTGATAGCCTTCTTGGTGCTTCTCTCTACCGTGAAGCTCTGGCACCTCCTGAGGCTGAACCCCAAACTGAACATGATTACCTCCACCCTACGGAGGGCCTGGGGGGACATCTCGGGATTTATGACTGTGATCATCATCATGTTCCTCGCCTACTCCATAGCCGTGAGTGGCCTTCTGGCCTTTATAATTTTATTCGCCATTTGTGTGGAGTGTTTGCATTTCCTGCAGCTCTGTCTATAAAGAGTGGCAAAGCTATTATGGATGGTCTGTCCACATTTTTTTTTTGGTGAAAGCAGAAGGGTATGATTAAAATTTGTTTTGAGAAAAAAGACATTTGAAAGAAGCTAAGAGTAACATTAAGTATACTTTTTAAGTAACGATTTAAAAGTATGCTGCTTTACAGAAGTGTACAAGTGTGTGTGGGGGCTCACGGGGGGGGATTTCCATTGGGGAAGGACAAATTTCACAGTCAAGTCAGCATTTGATTCACTGATATGTATGTCAGGCAAACTGCTAAACCAAAAGGAAGCCAGGCTCAGCCCATTGTTTGGGGACCAGCTATGAGTTTTGGCTGTGTATTATGTGTATTTGTAGTTACTCTGAACCACCCTTGTGATCCCTGAAGCAGCTAACATCTCTCTCTCCTTTCTAAGACACATTAGAGTGACTAAACAGAGGCTATTGTGATTTCCATTGGGGAAGGACAAATTTCACAGCCAAGTCAGCATTTGATTCACTGATCATGTATGTCAGGCAAACTGCTAAACCAGAAGGAAGCCAGGCTCAGCCCATTGTCTGGGGACCAGCTATGAGTTCTGGCTGTGTATTATGTGTATTTGTAGTTACTCTGAACCACCCTTGTGATCCCTGAAGCAGCTAAGATCTCTCTCTCCTTTCTAAGACACATTAGAGTGACTAAACAGAGGCTATTGTGACCTGTCTGTTGAGCAGAAAAGAATCTGAAAAATATATAAATTACAGGAAAACTCTATGCATGTGTCATGTGCCTTCAAGTCGCTTCTGACTTATGGCGACCCTATGAGAATTAACGACCTCCAAAGCAGTGTTCCCTCTAAGCTGAGTTAGTGTGAGCTAGCTCAGAGTTTTTTAGCCTCTGCCTCACACATTTTTGTCTTAGCTCAGGAAGGAGGGCTCCAGAACAAACTAATTTATGCAGTAGCCAAATCGCTCGCTCACAACTTTAATGTCGGTAGCTCACAAAGTAGAATTTTTGTTCACAAGACTCCACAGCTTAGAGGGAACATTGCTCCAAAGTGTCCTATCCTTAACAGTCTGGCTCAGGTCTTGCAAACTTGAGGGCCCTGGCTTCCTTGATTGACTCAATCCATCTCACGTTGGGTCTTCCTCTTCTCTGCTGCCTTCAGCTTTTCCCAGAATCATTGTATTTTCCAGTGACTGTTGTCTTCTCATAATGTGATCAAAGTACAATAGCCTCTGTTTAGTGATTTTAGCTTCTAGGGAGAGTTCAGGCTTGATTTGATCTAGAATCCCCTGATTTGACTTTTTGGCAGCCCACAGTATACCTTCCTGAATTGATCTGTGTGACTCTGTGTGTCTTTCCCCCCCTTTGTTTGTGTGTTCAGACAAACCTGATCTATGGCTGGAAGCTGAATTCTTACAAAACCCTCTTTGATTCAGCAGAGACCATGGTCAGCCTTCAGCTAGGAATTTTCAACTATGAAGAGGTAAAAATACCATACTCTGCAGGGGGTTTCCCTTACACCTGGATTAAAACAAAGCCAGAACAGTTCCCATTCCAGTCAGAATGTTCCAAATGGAGTCCAGTGTAGCTCCGAGACGGACAAGTTACAACACCTGGCAATGGAGCACACCTTTGAATCTCTGACACTCTCAAGAAGGTGCAAGCATGCCTTCAACGTGAGCAAAATGGCTCCCATCTAGGTTTTTATACAGCTTGGTGGCTGAAGCAGAGCCGAGTAGACTTAGATGTCTGGGGGGCTACTCCAAGCCACTGATAGTTGTGTTACACCCTGAGTGAGAGCTGAGGGATGTAGTTTTGGCCCCAGCCAGAAACCTGACTTTTGCAATCTGCTAGCAATAAGCAGTTTGGGAGCATATTGCTGTTTTGGGGAGATTGGTACTTTTTCAAGACTAGTATGGCCTGTCTGCATGCGAGCCATCTCCTTCCTGCTCCTTCTGCATTACAAATTTCTACGAAATGACCCCTGGTTGTGTCACACCCTGGGTGGGAGCTGAGGGATGTAGTTTTGGCCCCAGCCAGAAACCTGACTTTTGCAATCTGCTAGCAATAAGCAGTTTGGGAGCATATTGCTGTTTTGGGGAGATTGGTACTTTTTCAAGACTAGTATGGCCTGTCTGCATGCGAGCCATCTCCTTCCTGCTCCTTCTGCATTACAAAATAGGCTAGAAGCATGGTGGGGGGGGGTGGAAAAATGGGGGGAAGGTACCCCCCCATTTCCCTGTGCCTTGGTTCCAGTTTATATCACCTTTCTTTGGAGCTGTTTTTTGTAGCTAACTTACCTATTGAGGGATCTAATCAGTCCTCCCCATGGCATGAGTAGTCTGGTTCCATAATGGCATTTTACATCCTGTAATGTGATATCCTGAGAGCTAGCGGGATGTAGTGTTTAAAGGGTAAGGCTGGGAGGCCCAAGTTCGTACCCCCACTTTGCCGCAAAAGCTCACTGGCTGACCTTAACCCAGTCACACACTCAGCCAGGTCTACCGCACAGGGTTGCTGTGAGAACAAACTGGAAGATTGTTGTAAGCCACTTAGGGTCCCCACTGGGAAGAAAACGGGGTATAAATGAATAAATAATCATACTGCAGCTTACTGTGGGGCTGACTGCAACCAGGGAAGTCCCTGAATGACACCTTGCTATGGCTGTAAACTTATTTACTCCATTTTTCTCCCACCTGTCAACCTTGCCCCGGAATTTTGTGAATGACTTTAAGGAAACCACTATTCTCTCAACCTCACATTTGCACCATGGCGATAACAACATGGCCTTCTTTACAGGGCTACTGGCACTCTTCATAGGAGTATTAGTGAAATATTAAATGCAATGTAATGGACCTATAAGGAAGCAATTTACTTAGTGTTGAATCCGAGTGCATGCAGGCCACAAAGGTGCATCCACTTGCAGTTGTCAAATATCTTCAGCAATGTTCTCTCTCCCCAAGAGTATAACACAATGCTCTGTATGTTTCAGGTCCTGGATTACAACCCCATTCTGGGTTCATTCTTAATTGGCTCGTGCATCATTTTCATGACTTTTGTGGTGCTGAATCTGTTTATTTCGGTGATTCTTGTAGCTTTCAGCGAGGAACAGAAGCATTACCAGGTTTGTCTGTACAAGTGTTAAGTGTACCACAGACTCCCAAACTCTACTCGTGTATTAGGAGACTCCACTGAAAGTACAGTGCAATCTTATGAACACTCTCCTGCGAGTAAGCCCATTAGTGCATGCAGGCCACAAAGGTGCATCCAACAACTACTTGCAGTTGTCAAATATCTTCAGCAATCTTCTCTCCCCCCAAGAGTATAACACAATGCTCTGTATGTTTCAGGTCCTGGATTACAACCCCATTCTGGGTTCATTCTTAATTGGCTCCTGCATCATTTTCATGACTTTTGTGGTGCTGAATCTGTTTATTTCGGTGATTCTTGTAGCTTTCAGCGAGGAACAGAAGCATTACCAGGTTTGTCTGTACAAGTGTTAAGTGTACCACAGACTCCCAAACTCTACTCGTGTATTAGGAGACTCCACTGAAAGTACAGTGCAATCTTATGAACACTCTCCTGCGAGTAAGCCCATTGAATAGACCTGAGTAGGGATCTAACTAGGCTTCCTTGGGATTGCTGTTTAAGGCACTGCATGCTCTCAGCTTATTCTCCTTTCAACTAAAAGCTGCAGTCACACACTTACCTGGGAGCAGGCCCCAGCTCCCATCAAGTTTGCAACTCTCATCCACTTGGTCTCCTGCAGCTCATTTTTTACTTACCCCAGGTGACCGGACAAATTGTATACGGGGCTAAAGCCTTATTGATGGATGCTTTGTTTGGCTGTTTATGAAGGAAGCTCTGCAGCCTGACTGGCATTGTACCTCATTGCCAGTATCATGTTCACATCAAGATTAAAAATTAACTCA